CCCCTCCCCCCACCTTTCGTCCTCTGTGGCCTTGTCTGGCCTGGAGGGGGGGGAGAGGAGGCCAAGACAGAGCCTTGTTACCTTCTCAGAAGCTGAAAACCAGAAAGGACAAGAGAGCTTTGACTGTACATCTTAAGGGGGTCTTCACAAGTTGAATCCACTTTTTAATGGTCAAAACTGCTGTCAGTTCTTAGAAATGACTGATAATTGGTCAGGAGGAAGGACTCCCATCAGCCACCAGCAGCTTCAGCTTCATTAGCTCTCAAAACCACCTTAAAGGTAAAGCCACCCCATGACAATCAGGTTGCTTGAAAACTGCTGATATTATTGTTTAAGGTGATATTTGACTGATAGCAAACCAGTTCAATGTGTTGCAGCACTGCCCAGGTCTCAGTGGCGGATGCATCCACCATTGGAATTCTGATGTGAGTGGTCCAGGCAAGCCTGGAGAAGCTAAGCTGCCCTAGTAGAAGGTGTCAGTAAACTCCAGCAGCAAGCTGGAAAATGGAGCTTGAGAGACCATTCTGTAGAAGCACAGCTGCTTTGGATCTCTTCAACAGCTGGGATGATGTTTGTTTCTGGTGATCTCTGCACAAATGTGAACAACTCCTGAGCCAGGGGACAAAAGCATCACCTTCAGTTTATAACTCTGTGACTGCCTAACATTCTTGTTGGGTATCTCTTGCCCATTTCCTCAGGGGCCAAAAATCCCATGTGCTTCTGACCTGAATAGAGCTCTGTTGGTTTATAATGGCTGCTTCTGAGGTGTCCAAAGCTGAATAAAAATGATGTTGTTAAAGACTAATCAGTTCTGACAGATTAAATAAATATATTAGTTTCAATCAGTTGATGAGTAGTTCTATTTGTAGCAAGAAAAATTTGGACTGCCTCACTGCCTGATGTAATTACTCACCTAATATTTCAAATTCTCTGATGAACAGTCAGAAGGGGACTCCATCAGTTCATCACTGGAGTTTTGCAAGAGTAAAAGAGAACCCAATAACTTTAAGACTTACTATTTTATTTATTTTTTTATCTTCAGCTGGTTCTATTTTTGTGATGACATGAACCCTTGGCCATGACAACATTTTCTGTTGTACACACCACACTTCATCTTCCATCAGGAGAGAATTTGGCCAATAGACTGCACTGAAAGACTACACCAACCTGGTCCCAGATAGCACAGTCTCAGGAAAAATACACAGAGCAGCAGCTTCAGAGGCAGACATCCTGTTTTTGTTTTTCAGAGCTCTGTGGTTTAAAGCTGTGGTGTCTAAAGCACTTTCAACTGTAAGGAAAAGCAAAAGTTAGAAATTCTATATGTCAGCATGGTTAAGCAGCTGTGGTTGGGCATACATTTTGTGGCTCCCTGAGGTCACATGAAGGTGAATGCCAGCTGGCAGGGAGCAGGGCAGTGCTGCAGCTCAGCCTCTGGCAGGTGAGATGCACACCCAGTGCCCATGGTCAGCGCTGGCTGCCCTCAGGGGACAGCTGAGCAGTGACTCCTCAACTGGAACAGGCTGCCAGGGAGCTGAGAACTCCACCTGTTCCCCACAGGGAAAGTGGGGCTTAAGTACTTTTCATGGGCTGAGAGCGAGACCAGCAGGTGCTCTTCTTTCTGAGGCTGTGTCCACAGCAGAGTCAAGCTGTGCTTAGGAGACATGGGTTTGATCCAATCCGGCTAAAACAGTTCTGTGCAGAGGTTTAGAAAGCTTGAAGGTGCTTGTGTAGGAGTGTGGGTGCTGTGGCTGTGAAAATGGCTCACTGCTTCTGTTTAAGGTCTTTAAGTAATGTAACAGAAGCACAGACCTGAATGTGGAAGCAACCTGATATCCACTGTTCCCACCTCCTCCAGTTTTTTTTATTTCAAGCTCATAGTACAAAACTGGCTCTTAGATTGTTCAAGGGAATTTTCACCTACAAAATGATTAGCAGAAAAACCCAGGATTTAAATGTGATTATTAAACAATCAAGGGAACCCTGATGAAGGGGGGAAAGACAGATCTGAGGTGAGGCAATGGATGAAAAACAAACCACTTTTAAGAGGGGAAACTGAGACGCCGAGGGTGAAGGTGACTGAATGCCTTGCTCTGTGTCACTGGTGAATCTTGATAGAAAAAGAGCATCCCAAATTAGTCTCCAGTGGTGAGCAGGACCTTTTGTGAGGATTGAGGCTTAATGAGGCCAGAGGGTTTGGTTATCTTTGTCTCTTGGTGCTTGTGCTTGTTTCAGGCTGCCTGGAAGAACAGACCAAAGCTGTTCCCCATGTCACCAGAGCTGGGTTCTGCAGAGATTGGGGGATACCCTGATTGCTGTGTACTGGGGTGGAAAATCAAATTTGTATTCAAAGGAGGATGCTTCCTGGTTAGTCTTGGAATCAGGTTTTTCTCTTTAAAAACAAGTTTAGGAACAGTGTTGGTTTAGGGTTTTTTGGTGGTGGGTTTTTTTTTAGTTTTTTTTTTTTTTCCTAGAAGAAATAGGTTATATGATTGGCAGATATGAAATATTACTAATTTTCTTCATTGCCCACTAACACAGGAATTTTATACAAAGTGAATGGGACAAATGGTAAAACTTACTCTAGGCCTTAAAACTTGCATTAGGTGTTATCAAAGAAAATGATCATTGTTAAGCCCTTGAAAAAGGGGATGTTAAACTCATCTTCTGACTTTCAGCCTCCCACTATCTGTAGCTGGTAGTCAAGGTTTTATCCAGATCTTAATATTTTTTGTC